GCTCATACCTTGAACAAAACTTTGTTGGTCTTAAATGTGCTTGGTATTTCTCCCTGTGATTGAGGCAGCCCAGCAAAGCAAACTCTCCCTTATTCTCTCCCTCCCTTCAGGGAGGAGCCTCAGCCAGTTGAAGGAAAGAAAGGCCGCCCTTTGACTCCTGCAGCCTGGCTAGGAAGTGAGCTCTGGCTGTTCCCTCCCTCCCTCCCTCTGGGAGGAGGAGGGGGAGGAGTCTCAGCCAGTTCTTTACCAGACTCTCAGTCACACAGGAGAGCCTTGCCTATCGATCTCTCCTGTGGGATTGAAGAAGAAGAGAAGAGATTGGATTTATACCCCGCCCTTCACTACCCAAAGGTGTCTCAGAGCGGCTTACAAACTCCTTTCCCTTCCCCTCCCCACAACAAACACCCTGTGAGGTGGGTGGGGCTGAGAGAACTCAGACACAAACTGCTGTTTTTCAAGGACAGCTGTGCCAGAGCTTGTGACTGACCCAAGGTCACATCAGCAGGTGCAAGTGGAGGAGTGGGGAATCAAACCCGGTTCTCCCAGATTAGAGTCCGCACACTTAACCACTACACCAAACTGGCTCTCAGTGAGAGAGACTGGTAAAGCAAGCTGTAACATGGTGGTGGCAGCAGAACTGCAAATGGAAGTAGGAAACAGCCAGGGCCTTGTGGGCCTGATTGGAGCCCTCCGTGGGCCTGATCTGGTCCATGGGCTGCATGTTTGACACCCCTGCCATATGATGTCAGGGGAGTAGGCAAGAAGAGCAAATGACCTGTGTTCATGCCCAGTTGCAGACCATTTGCATCTTTTTCTGAGGACTGAATGCAGCATAAGGCCACAATCCTGTGCCCTCTTACTTGAGACGAAACCTTGATGAGCATAGTGGGTCTTACTTCTGAGTAAGCATGCTTGGAATCAGGCTGTACTTATTTCAGGTTTACAACAACTTCCAAAAAGCATGAAAAAAGTTTAGGTCTAGGGAATATCAAGCTTGATTTAGGTTTGTTAGACATGTGGAATGAGAGGAAATGGACTCTGTTACAGTGAAGAGTAAATGCATTTAACATATTTAAATGTGCATGTGTTTGGTATGCATAACGTATTCTGGATTAAAGTTTTTGAGCAGTTTGGGATCTTTCGGCAAGCATTTGAGGTGACACAAGATGACGAGAAAGGAAGTTAGGAGAAGGGTATCGGCCTTAGATACTGTTTCAGAGAGTAGTGGTGTTCGTCTGCAGTAGAACAGCTAGATTCCAGTCCAATCACATGTTAGATACCACAAAACTTTTGCCAGGTGTGAGCTTTTGAGAGTCAAAGCTCATACCCCCCCAAAATCTTGTTGGTCCCTAAGTTGGTACTGGACTGAAATCTAGCTGGCCTTATATATGGTGGGCAGTAAAGAAAAAAATATTTGTGGGAGGAAGCAAACTGAATAGGGCAGTAAAGCCTGATCCAGTTCTTTGTATAGTTTCTGCTATAGACACTATTATGCTCATAGAATCACAGCTGGGAAGGGCCATACAGGCCATCTAGTCCAACCCCCTGCTCAGTGCAGGATCAGCCTAGAGCATCCCTGACAAGTGTTTGTCCAGCCGCTGCTTAAAGACTGCCGGTGAGGGGGAGCTCACCACCTCCCTTGGCAGCTGATTCCACAGTTGCACAACTCTTACTGTAAAAACGTTTTTCCTAATATTCAGCTGCCCTTAATTTAAACTCATTATTGTGAGTCTTATCCTCAGCTGCCAACAGGAACAGCTCCCTGCCCTCCTCCAGGTGACAACCCTTCAGAAACTTAAAGAGAGCAATCATATCCCCCCTCAACCTCCTCTTCTCCAGACTAAACATGTTCTCATGCCCGGGTTTCCAAGTACTTACCGTGATCCGGCCAGACCATTCCTCCCTGTAACACACCATGTCATCGCCAGGAAGTGATGCTGGGCGACGCTCTGGCAATGGGACTGAAAACTTGATGGTACCATCGTGTTTCCAGGCCCATTGCCGGAGCGTCGCCCAGCGTCACTTCCTGGTGACGGCATGGTACGGCGCGTCTGTTGTCCCCGCAGGAATGATCCTGCAAGGACGTCTGTGTCCCCCGCTGAATCACGGTAAGTACTTGGGAAGCCTGTCTCATGGTTACAACCTTCATTTGTTAATAATAAACATAAAGGTCCTCAGGAGGTCAATTTTTATTCTCTGTATCAATTTCAGTGCAACAATTCTGCAGAGGCACTAAGAATGCACAGTCTTAGTATTCATGGTGTCTGGTGTTATTCTGAGTTTGATCTGAATTTTTTGTAGGATTCAGAACCCACCAGATTGTCAAGTAAACCACAGTCTCAGCACATGTTGGACTTACCCATTAATCAAAGAAACCCCTTCAAAGTGTCAGGCAAGAATCAACAACCATTGTCTTTGAAACAAATTGATAACTATGAGGACAAAAATTCAGAAGAAAAGGATGAGAGAGAGACATTGGACTCTGATAAAAAGCATCAACAGAAATCACCATTGGAATATGTTGAAAAAGAACTGCCAAAAGAAAGTAAGATTAAGTTTGGAGATAAAAGTGGTAGATCATCCAGCGGAGAAAAAGAAGGCCAAACTAAATTGAGTGACCTGACAACTGACCGTCAAGAAACTGTACTTTTGAATACACAAAAAAGTTGTTCTAGCAAAAAAGCTGAGGTACCTTCTGGACATGTAAGGCAGAGTTCATCTATGAGAACTGCTGAAGATGATTTGCAGAAACAAGAAACAAGCTGCAGTAGCCAGACATCAAGCAAAAAGCCCCTTAATGAGGAGCAGCTTGGAAAGGGAGGATCAGAATCCTGCATAGACCAAGGGGTAAGGGAGAAGATGCATGGCGATGGGGGAAGTGAAAAGACAACTGTGACGCCCAGAGGACTAGTAACCATTTGCGAATGTACAGGCTTGCCTGTAGTGCCTCCTAGAGAAAACCCACTGTTACACGGGGGAATGACTCCAGAAGAAAAACTGGGTACCAATAAAAATACTAGTGGTGATGAGCACAATAGGTATGTGCCCTCCAAATCGCCTGTTGGACTGGTAGTGGATTCCTTGCATGGAAAAGATTGCAGTCAGAAGAAGTCACCTTCCATCTCACAAGGAAGTGCCCCTTCACAAAGGGCAGAAATTCTGGATTCCAAAGTCCTTCACAACCAGCTTTCAGCTCAGTTAAGACAAAAAAAGGTATCTTGGTTGCTTTCTTTTTCTAAATCTGAACGTCCATTTATGCTATGGCCCAAAGGTTTCTTGTGTCAAAATAGTATGCCCTTGAATCTCTCAACATGAGCCAGCCATCAGTTGGTTACCTGTGCAAACCACTTGGGTATTTTACTGTTCCACCCTAAGCAGAGTTATACCCTTCTAAATGTATTGACTTAAATCAGTTTAGAAAGGTTTCACTCGTTTGGGTCTGGCACTGTTGGAGACTGGCTTGCAATACTCAGACATTGCTTGTAATCTATGGCATGCAACACAGTTTGACTAGAGCACAGAAGCCTTATTTTAAAATTTCTAAGGAATATGCCACTCTGACCTGGGTAGCCCAGGCTAGCCCAGCTTCTGTTACCCCTACCAGCTTTATTAAGCAATATTCTTGCCTCTCGTTCAGTTTGGGAAGTTAGCTTCAAAGGCAGAGCTAGGGAGAGGTGAGGTAATAGCGAGACCTCGCTATCTATGTTTACGGAGATAGTCCCTTTAGACCCTTGGCTGAGTCAATAACCAGTCCAAATTGTGAATGAAAGGAGTTTTATTAAGAAAAATAATTTTAGATATTTACATTCAAATCAAGGATTGCAAGCATACAAGGAGAAGCAAAAGGAGTTAGCTGACAAATAGAGAGGATGGATCGGGGTAATGATATACCTATCCTGAAGAGGTGATGCAGTCCAGAGGTTGTAGAGAGGTGTGTAGACCCAACCAGCGAGACCATTGGAGGACCTGAGTTATGATCAGGGGTGATAGTTTTGTGCACGCCCAGCTCAATCACACCATGCCTGAGTGGGACTGGGTATATTTATATCCCAAAATGTATCCTGAGGGTATGCTGAAGTGTAGTGGCTAGTTTCACAGTGGATTGATGGGATTCCCGTTATGGAACAATAGCGTGGACTGGCGTTTCCCAGGTGCCAGACAAAAGGAGGTGATGTTTCTTAATGTGCAACGGGATGAACCTGAATGGGTGACCATTCACTAGACATGAAAAGTTAATGTTTACCTTGATGGGTCTGGCATAGGTATGAGGGATGCAGATATTTTAGACAAAGATATGGGAACAGGAATGAGAGGATAACGGGGAAGGTATTTTCTGACATACAGGTGTGACAGAATTTGGGGCAGGAAACATGCAGCATACTCCATTCATGACCTATTCACAGACCAGAGGCTCTTTTTCTATGCCTGCCTGTACATTTGACAGACAAAAGACTGACCACTTGGTCAGTAGAAGGTGCCTGAGGCAAGAGCAGAGATTTGTCCATTCTAGTCCTTATGGACTTATAGGAGAAGGGGGGGCCCTGCTTGCATGGAGGATGCTAGTGGCCCTGTTTGCAGCACTGTTGGCCCTGTTTCTCACTTGGCCTGCATTCAAGTCCAAAATGAGATTTTCTTAGTCTCCCAGCAAAAGCCGCTGTTTAAGCCAAGCCTGGCTTCATCAGGGCACTGCTTGTGGAGATTCAGAAGTTGTTTTGGGTGTCCCTTTCTCGGAAAAGACCACCCCTGGTGCAGGGCAGAAGCTGCCTGTTACAAAGCTGTATGACACAGGCTTCGGGTTCTCTATCAGGATACTTCAGGCTCCACAATCAGGCTTGGCAATTCAGGCAAAAAAGCTTTTATTATCGAAAGAACAAGAAAGGCAACCTCAATTAACAATGCTTTGAGGACAAAGAAAACGTCCTTCCGGGGGTTGCCAAAATACAAAAAAGTAATTAAAATAAACTGGAACTTACAATAACTCCACAAGGTAGGAAAACATCCTGCCCACCAAACGCGCGTTATCCTCTCCCCCACAACTCTTGCTATTTTATCTTTGGAAGGACCTGTTAAGACACTGCCCCTCCCTATCTCCAGTGCAGCTGTTAGTTAAAAGATCTCAGCTGTGCAGCTCTTGCCAGGCACCGGCCAGTTCCTGTAAAGACTTGCAAGGTTGATCCTCCCCCTTCTGCCGTCCTTCAGTTCTACTAAGTTGCTGTGTTACCGACAGGTTGGTGTCTTCCTTACACCCCCCCCACGCAGAAAGAGAGTGTACCTCCATCTCACTTTCTGCGAGAGAGAAAAAAGGAAGACATAAATTCAAGCCAATCCCTGTTATTCCCCATCTTATTTACTAGGCGTTGGCTTAACATTTTACTCCGCTTCAGTAAAGCACCTTGAGAGGGAGTCAGCTAATACATTTTCTTTTCCCCTGATATGTTTGACCTCAAATGAGAAATCTTGTAGGGACAGCGCCCATCTCAGAATCCTGGCGTTAGTTTCTTTCATCTTGTGGACGAAGACCAATGGGCTATGATCTGTCTCCAACTGAAAGTGTACCCCCCTCAGATATGTCTTCAGCTTATTTAGCCCCCATACCACTCCCAAAGCTTCCTGCTCAATAACACTGTATTTCTGTTCTCTGGGCAATAGCTTGCGACTCAGGCATACTACCGTATGAAGGCAGTCATCTTGCCCTTT